ATGCGGATAATATAGCCTTGCGAAGTTTGCCGTTTTTCAGTCATTTTGTATTACAAATGGGAAATTGATAATCAGTTTGATCATTTGATTATCAATTTTCCGTTTGTAATGTAAAACGACTGAAAAACGGCAAATATCGCAAGGCTTTATTATCCGCATTTTACAACATTTCGCAACGAAACTTCGGAATATTACTAATTTTGTTGATGCTCTTTCAAGCTGTGATGAAATTTTTGTCCAGACTTGTCTAGATCAAAATCTCACTTAAAAGGGGAAAGGTCTATTGATCTAGTGTTAATACACCTGCAGTATTATAAAAACAGCGGTGTTTGTTGCACTGAAACTAATTTCTGATATACGACAAAAAATTAAAGATAATGCACGCAGACTAAAGGAATAGAACACTATAGTCATTGCGTAGAATTCTGAGTAAGAGTTTTATAGAAAGTACCACCTGGATATTAAATTGTATCTGAAACGAAAACATGGGACTAAACTGAAATATTAAAGAGCAATTGGATACTGCGAGCTTTAGGTCTTCTTAGAGGCGTTTGTGCATAGAGTAAAATGGGGGTTTTAAGTTTGTTAAATAATGAGCATAAAGCTGCAGTTGACAGTTAGTCTAACTCTGAAGCCTATGCTCGAAGAAACTTGTTTCGCCATCCCTGTAAACACCGCAGATACATCAAGGATGCAGCGAACGGACTAGCCCATCACAAAAGGCCAATTAACTAACTGGCTTGGGCCAAGATGTTGACCACCCTACTAGTGGCGTAACGCTCATTGGGTAGGGTTAGTTCAAAAACTAAGGCCCCCAACAGTTAGGGGCCCCCATCAGCCACGGCCTATCGCCCAGAAAATTAGAAAACGTAAAAAATGCAGGTTAAGAATCAATGGGAAAATGCAAAAATTAATAGTGCTAAATAATAAAGCCTCCGTCGACAACGGTAGCTGATTTTTTATTCCATCTCAAAAATAAAACAAGAGTTATTTTTATTAGTTGTTATTGTTATAGACATGGCATTTTTCAGAAGATTCTATAAATATTCAATATAAATATAATATCTCAGTTAAAAATTACGTCAACAGGGGCCCAGCAAATATGCCTAAGGGCACCCCCTTCCTCCGTTACGCCACTGCACCCTACATTGGGAATTCTATCTATCGCTCGATGGAATGTAAGGTAAATGGAAAGCAGTCACGTGGCAGACCATGGAAACGATTATAGAGGTTCGTACTTGACTTCCACTACCACTACCTCTCACTGGCTTAGTACGAATCTGGTTCGGTAATCGGATATGGCAAACACATTTAGTTGGTTAATGGTCACTTTTTGCTAATATCGCATTCAATTTTCATCCAAATTGAATAGATTTTTCCTTGGACTACTTCTCGTAGTCCCACAAATCTTGGTATTAATACGTTGGGTATCTTTTGAGTTATCGCGCTGAGAGACAAACACACATACATACTAACAAACCCAGGTGAAAACATAACCTCCTGACCATTGCAGAGGTAAATATTTAGGTGTGGATCGACAAAGAGGTCTTGACCTCCGTTGATGAGATTAATCAGGAGTTTCGTGATCATCAGGGGTTTCTTGATCTCAGTTGGAAGTTTCTTGATCTCAACTTAGTCAGGAATTTCTTGGTCTCACTGATTCTCGAGTCTTTTGATCTCACTGATTAACCCTACTCAGACCTACTTCACCTGTCTGGACTTTCTACAATACCAGGCAGTACTTACCAAACCACCATCATAATCAAAGATCGTTTCCTCAACACACTTGACTTGAAAATGTCAACAATTGTAAAATTCTTGATATCCGACTTGTTTTCAATCTTGTTCACCGTTTTATCAAATATATCTCGTGGGAAGATAATCTTGTTGAAAGAGCAGATGTTTCTAACGACTTTCTCTGCTTTGTCAAAGCGGTTATTGATTAGAAGCCAACGAATGGATTCGGGTAAACACCTATATAGAAAAGTAATGAATATTATCACATTTGAGGCCCATCGTTTCGACACTCCAGTCTAGAAATGTATTGTCTTTATGTCACTTATCTCAAAATTAGGACTACCTGAGATAGAGCATGGGTGCTATGCATAAATGAAGCCAATGGCGCCCATTTTGGTGTGAGCTACAATCTTTGACAATATAGATTGGAACAATCTAGTTTTCACATGCATTCCGTTGTAATATATCATTCCGTGATACATTTTTCCACCCCACCCGTTTCAATGTTGGCGTCCCGCAAACAGACATCAGATTTTTGTCGGCCCAACATTGAACTGGGGGAACAGGGGGCGTTATGCCTTTCAAATTTTGTGAAATTACAGCACCTGTCCCATAGGTTTGAGCAAAGATTGTACCAGTGCAAATCTGCATTGGTGTTGCTGACATGTTAGAAAAGGTTCTTAATTAAAGTTTCTGGTGATTGGTAGAAATAAAAAAATATTGCCTAGGGAGAAATTGGTTACTATATAGTGACCTCTCTTCATTCTGACATTTGCCAGTGAATAATTGATGAGGTGACACCAATATGGCAAATGTCCTGTTTCCGAAGTTGACCTTTATATCTGCTCTCCCGTGACGCTAACTCAAGCCACCAATCTGCTAATGAATTGCCGACCAGTACCTACCAGACCAATCCAATTTGGAACAGGAAAATTGTGGTGGACACCAGCTGAATGTAATGCCATTCTTTGATGAGATACGAGACCAGTGCCAATGACATGACTCCAGTAGCCCAAAAAACCCCTTGTCCAATTCCGAAGGATGTTCTGTACTGAGTGGCAAGCATCTCTACCTGACTGGTAAAGGTGGCAATTTGTAGGCCCTGGAAGTAAGGAAAATAAATCTTACAGTGCAGTTAAGTCTGTTATTTAATAATTGGTCCAATTTATTCTACATAATGACTGTACCTGCATAACGGATCCAAGGAAGAACCGAAGGACAACAAATGCGATATAGTTCTTTATAAAGAACAACAACAAGCCAAGAACAAATGGAGAAAACATTGTAAACAGAAACACAGGTCTTCTTCCAAATTTATCTGATAATGTTCCGAACACCAGACTCCCTAACGTTACTCCGGCAAAATACATGCTTGTGGCTAGGCTGACTTTGTAAGCGTTGTCACAGACAAGATCCCACTAAATAGAAAATAATGGAGTAAATGATTGTTATCTAAAGACAGGATTGGGCGCCATTATTAAACGTGAAGTCCAACAAGTAGCCAATAATTTTTGGAATGTTAGCCAGTAACGTACTCCAAGCTCAGATTGCTACAATCGTAATCAAATAATTTCAACTGCCGCAGACACAAATTTAAATTTTATTTACAAGTTATGTCCATGATTACGGAGTCACTGCATGTACATGAAATTTGTAACTCTAGAATTCTTAATTCAACTAAATTTTGAAACACATATTTTGAATTCAAAATTATCGCCGTATATAGGCCTACTATCGACGTAGTATCGCTCTATGGCTCCCGAACGTCTGCAACCATGTTGTCCAGTGTAGGTAGCAGTCTAGCTACAATAAACTGCCGTTGTTTGTGTATGAACTATACCTGAAAATTAAAAGATATCTCAATCGTCGGGTCCAGTGTAGGTTGTATTCTGCAATAAACTGTAAACATTTCATTCAGATCGAACTGCCTGCAAAGGATATAAACTCGAGTTCTCTGTGCCGGCGTGTGTAGAAACAAAAATTAAACACCAGAGAAATGCAGATGGTAAGAATTCAACTACCTGAAAAATACAAATATAACTTTGACGTTTCGAGCGAAGGCCCTTCATCGAAGTTTTACGTCCAAGTTTTACTTGTATTTTATTCAGGTAGTTGAATCCATAGCCATCTGCATTTCTCTCCTGAAAAGGGTGTCTCAAACGTGGTAGTCCAGTGTAGGTATAGTATTATACAATAAGCTGTCGTGGTTTGTATCTAAACTGCCGGAATAAATTTGAGAAATTGTTACCTCAGATATTATAGTCGCCTCTCCTTCAGGGAGGTCATAAGTCCAACCATTTGGGCATGGTATCTTTTCTGTAGTATTATAACCATCAAACAGATGACATCCGTCCCATATTGACTTTCCATTTTTTCTTATCAATGGTACAAGCCGACTAACATCTGTGTTGTTTGCCACCATGCAACGATGTTTAGTTTTCGCTCCCATAAATGCCATTCCAAGATGGTTCCAGCATGTAAACACCCAGGTTGTAGAGAGATATAAGTAGAGGAGGACTTGAAATTTGCCTGGTTTACCCAGAGAGTTTGTCAAAGTATCCGTTGACATTTTTAGAGGTTTTCTTGAAGTAACTTAACTGATGTGTTAAACTAAAAAAACAAACTTAAAAGATTAACAAAATAAAGTTTTGGTCAATGTTTCAACTACACATGTAAAAATCTCACAACTTGTCAACAGGCTTGTAGCAAGCGAGTCAAGAAGTTGTAATAATGCTGTTATTTCATCAAGTTGCTACAGGGTTGTTACTCACAACTTGTTGGCAAATTGTTGAATTGCAGGACGATAACAAGTTGTTGGAACAACTTGTAACACGTCTGTTGAACTCAACAACCTTGTAGCAAGTTGTTAACAAGCCGTTGACAACTTGTCAACAAGCTGGGAACAAGCAGTGCAAACACATCCTGTTGACAAGTTGTTGGAACAGCATTGCTACAAGTCTGCTGCAGCTTTGTTACAACTTGTGCGTTTCTACGTGTGTAGATTTTAACTTATGGAATACATGATAAGATCGCGTGACTGCCAACTCTTATCAGCACTCTCTACCTCGGTTGAGCCGAGTTACGATCAAATGGAAACATTGCTTAATTGACTGATTAATAAAAAGTAATTTTGTTATACCATTTCCCATATGTATGGACACCTGGGAAAAGTAGGTACGCAAAGCGTGCATGTATCTGGCATTCTGCGTAGACTTTAAAGTTTTGATTTTTCTGTGTTGGTGTAGTGTACTCAGGTGAATATGATGCTTGTGATATTACTCTGTGTGTATATCCACACCGCGCAAACTTGAAAAAAATATGCCTCTCCACGGTAGGTTCGATTCCCACCGTGGCCAGGCATATTTTTCAAGCTTGCCCGGATGGATCACTCAGAGTAACATCACAAGCATCTTTAAAGTTTTGTTATCATGAAATAACTGGATTCACATTTTGTATATGTTTTTTATATACAGTCTATGCCCCGCCTCGTCCCCAGGCTCCAACTTCCCCCACGTGTGTCATCCCGCGTGTTCTTCGCGACTGCGTGTACAATAAATGCCATAGACTATGGTTTCGCTTGTTACACTGGCCTGTAGGCCAAGTGTCTTAAATCCCTCTTTTTCTGTTTTCTGTTTTCGACGAGAAATGGAGTTTGCGTTAGGTCATCGCAGGCTCAGGGTGCAACGTGCTCCAGTGACATATTCAGTTCAGT